GTGAAATACTGATCATAAATGAGATTTATTAGCCCCAAATATAGATTATTTAGAAAGCCTGATAAATTACAGTGGAATGTTTATGGTATCAATATTGTAATTTATAATTTTTTATTACAAAATTCATGTATAAAACCTACAAAATTTTTATTTTTTTTAATATTTTCCATGTGCAAATTTGACAAGGCTTATTAGTAAGTACAACTCATGATTATAAAAACTTTGTAGCATCATACGTAGTAGAGATCATTGTATTCTATATATACTTTATTTATTGTTTTATGTTTTATGAAAAATAACTGAAATTTAAGAAATTATTTATAAATAGTAATAATATATACACATAAGTAATGTATGGTAGCTGAAATGTCAGAATATTTTACAAAATACATTATACTAGCACTAAGAAGAGTACGACATTTCTATTTTGTAAAGGCTAGTTTTATGCTATTTGATATAGTAATATAAGCTGCACATGCACCACGTGATTTACAATCTGGGTGGCAGAATTATTAGTCAGATATAATACAAAAGTCAATAAAACAAAAAATTAATAAACATAAATAGATGTATACTGTTATAAGATTTAAGCTATTTAGAATAAACATTTGTTGTTTCCTGTTATAATACGTAGTCATTGTTGAATGAATAAAAGAGTAATTTCGATTTCTTTCCTAATATTTTATGGTGGTTACAATGTCAGTCAAAGTGACCAACCCCATATACAGTTAAGATAGAGAAAATAACATAAAATATAAAGTTTTTAAAATAAACACAAGTTTGATAGTTATTTAGCTGGTTATAGAGATTACAAAAATAAAATTTGACAATTTTTAGATGTAGAAAGGTATTTTTAATCTTAAAATAAAAATACTTTGCATGTTGGATGGTCAACATTTAAAAAAAATTCACAAGGAAATATTTAATTAAAAGCCTTAATATTTAATAAAAAACCTTTTGTGTAGGAAAGTCCTGTAATGTTCACTGATAATTTGCACAATTTCATGAAGATACATGTACATTATCAAAAGTTATAGTATGACTACTATGGTGGTTACGTGCTGAATGCAATGCACATAACTATCATCATGCAGTAGCACAATTCATATAAAAACATGTAAAATTAGGTGGGAGTTTCCTGAAGGCTACCATCATGCAAATTTCTCTGACAGACAGATAAGGAAGATAGCTAAACTGTGTGAGGAGGTGAGGTACCATCTCAGAAACATCTTCCTTCCATTCTTTAGATATTTAACTACATATGCACAGTCTGTAGTTAAGCTTTCAATGTTAAGATTTTCTTTAGATGAAAATGTTATTTAAGTTAGATACTTATTTCACTGCACCACTAACAGGTATTACCTCACATACAACTGCCGTGGAAATTCCCGTGTATGCTATAAGACTTGAACAAACTCCCACCCCTACATGCGTCTATACATAGTGAGTCAGCTTATGTAATCATCATAGTTTTCTAGTCCTCCACTAACAGGAGGGCAATACAACTATTATGTATATTAATACATGTGAGCACTAGCATATAATCATAGACTCATTCTTGACAAGGCAAAAGATATACACCAGAAGTAAGGAGGAAGGATGGGAGGTGGTGAAGAGTGGTAAGTATCTATCTGAAATTTATTTCAGGTAAGAAAAATGTTAACTTCAAAACTATTACTTACCTCTCTGCACCACTAGGTGCTAGAATCCAACACTGAAGATACTGGGGGGGGTCAATGATTTTCCTATTGTTAAATTACTGTGCTAGTAGTGCAAGAGATAACAGAGAAATCTTGTGCTGGTGGTTACGAATTGCCAAGGTGGTCAGAACATTAGAATATTTAAATAGTGTGGCTAGGGCTTTAGGCCATTCTGTCTTGGTAAAATACTTCCATGAGATAAATATTATAAGGACCATTAGAAGGAGGAGGAGCCCTTACCTGTATCAAGTCCCATCAGGCTGGACACATCCACCTGGAATTCTTTGGTGGATTTGTAATGGAATGTCCTGTATAATACTTCCAGTAAACACCTCATTCTTACATCTTAAATAATGAGTGGGTTCAACTGGTTTCTTACTGGGGGAAGGCACCACTCACAGAGGAAACTCTCTACATAAATTTCCCCAGCCTCTTGGAAATGGAGAAGTAAGTAGTAGAAAAATGGAGAAGGGAGGATTTGAGTAGGAGAGAACATAGGGATGTATGCATGGACCACTGTCACCATACAAATTCATCTGGAATTGGGTCACCACCATGAGACAATGCAGTGGGTTATCACAACTAAAGACAATAGGTGTGAAGGAAGGACTACATCTGATGATGCTGTCATTTTAGTTGTTGTTCTTGTTTTTGTAAAAGGTGTGGAAAATGCCAGGTCAATTCTATAAATATACAACCAAAGCAGTCTTGTAGAACACTCTATTTCAACAGCAGGCAGTAAGCAGGGTCAGGTGGGATTAACACTGCCCTTATCCCCTGCTCATTGCAGAGTTCAGGTAACTATTCCCTATAAGGCAATGCAGGACATTCAGTATGATCAAGTGACACCAAACAAAATTAAGTGTTTCATAGTTCCACATGTTACATTTTTTGTTTGTTTTTGTGATGATGGGTACAAAATAAACTGTACACACCAGGTGGTGTTATGAAATGTGTCAGGAAAATGGAGATCAAACAAGATTAGTGATGGAACTGGAAATTAAAAATTAACAGCCAAAATTCACTGCCCAAGAGCCTCTGATAAATGGGGAAGGTAAATGCCAGAGGCATAAGAAACTATCCAAAGATTTAACTAATTTAAGAAGAATGCTTAGTATTAGCAGCATAGTAGCATGCAATACTTCCATCAACAGTCAATACTAAAAGAAGGCAAGAAGCCGTGATATGCTGAAACAAATGTGGGGTAACAGTATATAGCATCTGGTCAAGAGGTACATCATGGTAATAAAAATAGTAGTAGTTTCAGCAGATGAGCAACAGACAGGCCTAACTGAACATAAAAGATAATGAAAATCATAATGATTGTTTAATGAGAAAATAAAAGGGAGAGAGCTGAGAGAGAGAAAAATTCAATCACCAACTTGGGCAGCCCAAGTCTTCAGAAAAAAGGAGTGTTCAGGAAACACATCAAATGGTCCTTAATATACAGTACATGAGGTGTTCACAGCACAAATGTCCAAACAAAGGTGAATAAAAGCAAGCAAAAAGAAAAATGTCTTCAGAGGCAAAAGATATAAGGAACGGGAAGTAATGGTATACAAATAGGGGTCATGTTAGATCCCAAAGAACCATACAGATGAGAAAAGGAGCTGTATGAGGGGAACAGTGGACAAAAAAGGCCCACAAGAGGTTAGAGAAAACAGGTGAAAGAAAGGGATGAGTGCCAGGCAGGAAGCAACAGTTGTGGTAATATCATTGTTCTGTAACCAGCAATAGTCCCTAGTGAAGTGTGCAAAGAATGGAGAGGTGGGAATCAATGGTTTCAGAGACAGAAATCTACTCCAAAAAAGTTTAATACCAAGTTTCACAACAGCCTATCCTGTGAAAAGGGGAAAGGTGAGTAGAAACGATAGAATGAGAAACAGGAAAGGGTAGTAGTACCATATGACTCCTAAGGTTAGGTAGACAAGTAAAGATAATATAAAAATGAGAAGATCACAGTAAAGAAAGTAACAAAGAAGAAGAAAGAGGTGTGCAGCAAACAGACATAAGAGACTGAGGGTCAAGAAATACAAAAGGGTCATAACCTTATACCATAACAAAGGATTCACTAAGATGACGAAGACAAGGAAGACGTTGACCAAGACAGAGTTGGGACAAAAGGAAGGTCATGAAGTAAAGCAACTCAAGAGTCATTGTGATATATAGGTAAAAAAGAATATTACATATCTAATGTACAGGCATAATAAACAGAAAAGAAAAAGGTACCTGTTCCTCATTAGGGAAAGAAGAACCACAAGCAAAGACTGGAGGTAGAAGATCTAGCCAGAATCATTCACAACCAAAGTAGGATCCACAGAAGCAATAACACAGAATGATGAAGGACCTGAATAAGTGAGCTAAAGTGGTAACTACTGAGGAGCATCATCAGATCCATTTACAAATAATGTGCCTCTGCTCACTGTTCACTCGAAGAAATGTCCAAAAAAGGAATATCTGGGCCTCAGAATGTAACACTAAAATAAATGTTTTCTAATAACTTTTCAAGTTGTTGTTTGAAGCAGCACAAAAAAGAAAGGTTGTGATTAGAGAAAAATAAGTTGCAATCAGGTGGATGGAACAAAAGTGCAACAAGGATAAATGTAATGTAACACTACAGAAAGAAACACATCTGAGTACAGGCAGTGCTGAATAAGAATGAACTTATAATCATGTGCTAGTGCTCACAAGGATTACTGTGCATGGAGGTTGTGTCATCCTCCTACTGATGGAGGGCTACAGCATTATGACCACTGCATCATAGGTTGGGGCATTACACATAGATATGTGTAGGGGTGAGAGTTTATTTCTTATGGCATGTGCAGGAAATTTCACAGTAGTTGTGTGTAAGGTAATAGCTCTTAGTGGTGCAGCAGTAATTAATGTTTCCAAGTTTATTTTTATTTGCTACTTTCTATTTATTTGTTTATTACTGATCTGTTCTCACAAATCACTGTACAGCCAGCTTTAGTAACTAGGCTTTTTCTACAATTTATTTGATAAATGATTTATCATTAATTTTCAATTAAGTACCTAAATGGCCTTGTTTTTGTTATATACTTTGATTAAATAATCCATTTACAGTACTTTTACATCCTTCCCCAAACTAGAACTCAATGTCAAGCACATAAAATGTCCTGAACACAATGCACACACTTTTAAAATGTCAAGTTAAGCTCTGATGTGATTATATTTAACAAATATTTTTTTTTTTCTTTCCACTTTGATAAAAAAAGATCCACAATCAGTCTTTATGCTTACCATTTTTAATATCATACTACTTGTGATGTAATTACTTACCAATACTCTATTTTCTGTCTTTTCAGGCTTAGTTTCCATACAAACCATACACTTCAAGGAAACCTTTACATTTCTTCCAAGTGTATTTTGAATACTCTCTAAAAAAGAGCAAAAAAGAAACAAATTGGTAGTATACATACTGTGAGATAGGGAATTCTAATATTATTTTTTTATGGTTTTGCTTATCATTCATTTATTATTCCTTCTATCATTTAGTCAACTATGCTAACGCAATGTACTCTCTCCCAACCTGACGTTACCACCACGTGTGTTCCATGTGCTCCGGCCCATGCACTTCAACAACTTGATGTGTCAGTCCAAGCAGGTAAACTTTTCTTCTTCTCTCTTCCTTTGACTCTTCTTCTCAACTTGACAGCTATTCCACACGCTTTGAGGCAACTTAGCTAGTATAGGGAAACCAATCCATAATAGAAATTTTCATCTAGTCTATTACCTCCGGATAGAAAGTAATTGTCAGTATATATCACATATTCCACATCGCTCTTGAAAAATCAACAATACTCTAACTCCACGTGTGAGGCTGAAGAGAAACTACAGTTTCTAAGCACCCCTCATTGTCTCCCAAGCCCCTCTGGGGCTTGTGCGAGATATAAAACCAAAATAACTGCCACGATAGATAGATAAATAGTTCAACTATGAATTTTTAGTTACATTAAAGCTCTAGCTCACCTTTTAGCTAGAACAGTTTGAGTTTTAGTGTAAGAACTTTGAAACAAACACAGCTTCCCCTAGTTGGTGATGTACAGATATATATGTTGTGACAGATTATGTAACTTGCTAGTCTCAGGAGATGTAACATTGTGGTCTGACCACTAAATAAAAACCCTTCTTTGATCTTAAATGAGTTAGTTCATGAGATATAGTTAGAATGAATTACTGCTGATTGTTACTCAATATTGTTATTGAACTTGAAGTGGTTTAATTTTGGAAAATTATGCTTTTTCAGAATTAATTTTTTTTTCTTCTGGTTCTTTTTCCTAATTCCTATATTTATTGAAATTAATAACACTGACATTTATGTTGTATTATTTGTTAATATTTGTATCAAGTCCTGGCCAGACACAGATTTACAAAATGTTTTGTTTTTTTGTAAGTGATAAAACTTGTATTCCAATTGTTCGAAAGTTAATATTTTTGATTTAAAAATTATTAACTTCCAAAAGATACCTCTTCTCACACTACAGCTAAAACTCCACATTGATAAGGTGGAGGAGCCAGTGAGGACCTTATCCATACAGAAAGCATCTGCATAGATCAAGGGCATACCAATAGAACATTGGCACCCTAGTTGGGTAACCGCACTACATCCAGAACAGGTATGCTCTTCACCTGGAACTTAATTCATGTACTGTAGGTGGAATTTTACATGATCTACCATCACTATTGGTCCCTATATCCCACGTTGGTAGCTGGGCAGATAGACCACAGTGATATATATATATATATATATATACTTGTGAGTGGATCCCAACCTGTAGCCATAGAGTGATGTATTCTGAACCACAGGAATCATGACAAAAAGGTAAGCAATACTGAAGTGGACAAAGCTTCTCCTCAACCTGAAGAAGTCCAAAAGACAACACCCCAGCAGTCTCTGGTATGTTAGGTTCAACTGTTTCTTGGCTGCTCTTTGGTTAGTTCCATTACTATTTTTGATGATATCTCAAATGCTCTGGCTAAGGCTGCTCACTCAACACCTGTGGACTTATGTTTCAGCCCAATAACTGACTCTGTGAGGTCTCAAACATCTGATGCACCTGCCAGCTATGCATCTTAGTCCATGGACTCAAACAGGTGGGAAGTCAGGCCAACTCCAGGCTTTTCCACACCAAAAAGAATGTCCTGGTGAGGTACTGAGATTCCTCATAATTTTCTTCCTTTTGTGGCAGTATAAAGGAAACTTTGGCACACTAGAAAATGAAATGTCACCAACTAATTGAAAATAAAACATCAAAAAAATGCAAGATCAAGGAATTCCAATTGGTCAAAAGGTCAGCTAGGTGTGTGGAGTGAAGAAAAAGGATCATAACTGCCTAGTTACAATCATTACTCCTCTTTAAAAACTTTCTTTCTTCGTGAATTAATTTGATTAAGTGAAATTTCTATGGGGTTTATATGTTCATGCTCTAAAAACCCACAGAACATGTATCCCTGACATAAACTTCTTTGTTCACAAACCTCACTGGGCCTCCACTTAATGAATACATTCTTTAGGTATTCCTGTAATGATAGCCACTAAATTTATCCTTCAACCCACATCCATTCTTTCCATTACAATTTGATCATTACATACATAATGTCCAGTTCTAGTAGGAAAAGAATGGGGTGAAGACTGCAAAACTGGATCTTTCACATGAGCTGACTTGAGGCAGACAAAGTTAACTCTTATTTTAGATGTAAGAATTCACTAACTCTTTCACTGCCTTTCCTTAGGGTCTACATCCAGTTACAAGATTAGTTCTAGCTATAGTGTGATATAAAAAGTTTCATTACATAGATCTAATTTTCTGCCTACTCCTAGTACACATATAGCCTGCATTTTCACACATCTTATATTTCACCTTGTACCGAAACAATGTTATGAAAAAACTTAGAAGACTGTGTGCTTTACTAAATATTTCAATGTGTACAATTGAAAATATCTTATATCCCAACCAAATAAACCACTAGGTGCACCAAATTTATACATGTTATCATATTTAAGTTGCTGTTTGTGAATTTCATATACTAATGATAATTTCATCTACTCATAAACATTTCAATATAATCCAAATGAAATATCATGAACTAAACTTACCAAAAACAACTAAAGCTGTTTTCTCTCAGATATAGTGTGAATCTCTCCATTACTCTTATCCTTTCATGAAAATTCAATTCATGCCAATATTCTAATGAGCATTAATGAAAATAACAGGTACACTGTGTCTTCAAATAATACCTTATATGCAGTAATCACATTTAACTTCATATCACAGTCTTAACATTAAGACCAAATCATGTTTCCATTCATGTGTATTTTAATGTTGTGCTCATTATATAATTAATTGATTCATGTTATACAAGACTGGCAATTGACTTAATATAATGTTCCTACATGCTTTTGCACACACACATACTTATTACCCCCACCATTGAAGGTGACAGAGGTTATGTTTTCACCCCTGTATGTGTGTGTTTGTCAGCAAGATTTCTCAAAAATGGATTTGGACAAAAGTTGGTATACATTTGGACTGTGATCCATCTTAGAAGTGTTTAGTTTTGGAGTGTAAAGATCAAAGGTCAAGGTCACAAAAATACAAACAATCCCTGTTATAGTTAAGTTTAACCTTAGCCAAATCAAATTGGAGGTCAGTGGCAGCAATTTCCTAGATCGTCAGAGTTGAATATTCCCTCAAGATCTAGCACTTTATCATCTGACTCATCCTGAACAGTCAGATATATACTCTTCACTCTTTCATCATCTTCAGAATAAGAGTGGTTGCACCTTCATCCAACTTCACGACCTCTTCTCCTGAATATTGATCAAGCTAGTTCTCCAGAGAACACAAGTTATCAATGTGTATTATGTGCTTTCTCACATGCCTTTACTGCATTAATGGACCAGCTCACTAGAGCACAAGATGAGGCCCTCTCTAGTCTAAACTAAGAGGCTTCCATGCTGCTAGCATAAACTAAAGCCATACCTAGTCTCCACTTTGATATATTTGTTCCTTAACTGTCTTGTCCTTTTGTCATATAGCAGCCTTTCCTAGCTGTTACGATGCAAATACATATGCATTATCTAAAGCAGTCCTTAACAACTCCACATATTCTTGTGCGCACTGTGGGATATTCACTTTAGGTGGAGGACCATACATCACATCTACAAGGATTTACTTATCAGATAACATTAGCCTATTCAACATTAACCTATTTTCAGATGTGGGTTACATCATCATTACATGGGGTAAATGTTCCTTTCGGTCCTTTGGAATGATATTAAGAAGCTTATCAAGCACAGACTTCACAGTCTGTCTCACCCTTTCTACTAAACCATCAGTCTGGGTGCATCTCTTCATCACATTCAACACTTTACACAACTCAGATAACAGATGACTGTTAAAGTTAGCTCCTTGATCCACATGGATCTTTTCAGGTGCTCCAAACTGAGCTATCTAGTACTCTGCCAGTATATTAGCAATGTACTGTGCAGATATGTCAACCAATCGTTAAACCTCTGTCCACTTTGTGAAAGTGTTGATGACTATGAGTACATGCAGATAGCCTCATTCCATCTCTGGGAGTGGATAAGTTATACTCTGCTAAGAACCAACTGTTGTTTACCTTGTTTCTGCCAGCTTTTTCTCTGGATAGCACACACACGTAATATAGTGTTTACACCACCACTGAATGTCTTGACTCAAATGCTACCAGAAGAACCTAATATATTGGTGTCTTCCAGTCTTTGTATTATGTGGTGGTAATTTCAAAGAGTTCAAAATAATTGGGAACAGAAGGACGAGAAAGGGAGAATGTATGGCACAATGATGAACTGTGAAAAATATGCCTATTTTGTCAATAGACAAGAAGGGAGGAAAGATGAATAGAATGAGAAAGAAGGAAAATAATGCTTGGAAACAGCTTGAATGGGTAATGAAGAAAAATTTTAATATAAGTTTAACATAACAGCAAATGTACAATGTTTTGACAAGGTTTTGTCATCATCATTACCCATTCAAGCCATCTCCAAGCATTATTAGTCTCAAAGTGGGTTCTTTGTCATCGAGAAAGAAGGAAGGATACACGTGAAGAGAGTCCAGAATGTCTTGTGAGGGACCACACAAAACCCATGTGTGAAGTTGGAGTGACAACATATCTGGATAGGAGAGGGAGTAATGAGACTGAAGGACAAAAGAGCAGGAGAGAGGTAGAAAAGGAAAGACTGAAGAAGGTTCAACAGAGGAAATCAAGGCTGAACTGGTCAATACAAAGGTACAAGAAGAACCTGACAAGAAGTGTCCTGTGTGAGGAAGAGAACATGAAAGAGGAGACAAATAGGAGAATAAGCACAGAGAAAGAGGTCAGTCTGGTCTAGCTT